TGAACCCCTTATTCAACAATTCCTGCAACATCTCTTTTAACTCCTTCAGCTCAGTTGGGGTCATTCTATACAGGGCTTAAGAGATTGGAACCGTGCCCAAAACTACATCTATCTCAAATTCAATTTCCCTTGTTGGAAGTAGGGATGGCAACTCTTCTAGGAATACCTCAGGGTACTCCCTAACGACCGATATTTCTTCTAGTTGGGCTTGCACACCTCGATTCTCTACTACATAAGCCAGATACTCTTCACATTTCTTAGCTAGAAGGCGAGAGGCTTGGAGGGCAGAAATAAGGTGCAAAGGGGAAATATCCCTTGTGGCCTCAAAGTGTAGTTCTGTTTGATCAGGACATTTAAAGGTTATCATCTTTTCATGGCAATTGACGGTAGCATAGTGTGTATACAACCAATCCATGCCCAAAATAACGTCAAAGTCTTGAATATCTAGTGAATTAAGTCTACTGGCTGGTCACACCCATCAATTGTGATCTTACACTGCCTATATACTCTATCAGTTTCTATAGAATCTCCCACAGGTGTGCATGCTACTAAAGCATAGTTGAGACATGCAGGTGCAATATTCAAACGGCAAGCAAAATGAGGTGCAACAAATGAATGAGAGGAACCAGGATCAATTAAGGCTTTGGCTCTAGTACCGCAAATAGAGAGTGTACCTCTGATCACCGAGGTGGATGCCTTGGCTTCTTGTTTGGTGAGAGCAAACGCTCGTCCTTGTGTCTTCGGTCGGTTCTCCATCTTTGCCATGGGGCAATCATTAACCCAGTGACCAGGCTTGTCACATCTCAACACACATTCCGCTTCCTGTAGCATTCGGCGGTAGTGTGGTTATCCTTCCCACAATGAGAGCATATTGGGCGTCGATCATTTTCCATGTTGCTCGAGTGATTCTTCTGGGCCCTCTGATTAAGCTGGTAGGGCTTTCCCCTAACATCTCTCCTTGGGAATTGTCGGTGCTTCTTCCCAAACGTCCCCAACGACGCACCTTCATCTTTCCTTCCTTCCTGGATCTGTGGTCCTTGCAGTCCCTCTCAATCCTTAGGGCAAGGTCTACAAATGGGGCATACATCTTCAGGTTGCCCGACAACACTCTCCCTCTAATATCCAGTCGGAGGCCCCTTTCAAATTTAGCCGCCTTCTATGCCTCGGTATTAATGAGGTGAGGCACATACCTAGAGAGCTCTGCAAATCTAGCGGCGTACTGTTCCACCGTCATACCTCCTTGCTGGAGTTCAATAAACTCTACTACTTTCCTCTCCTTGATGAAGTCTGGAAAATACTTCTCATCGAAGGCTGTTTTCCCATGTGGTCTCGGTCCTTGACTCCTCACAAGAATGCTTCACCGAGTCCCACCAGTATTCAGCTTCTTCTTCCAGCATGAAGGTTTCTAATCTAACCTTCTGCTCATTCGAGCAGTGTAGCACTTCTAGGATTTTCTCTATCTATTTCTTCCACCTCTCAGCCTTTCTACTCCTCCTTGCTCCAAAAAGGTTGGGGGAACAAGCCTTATAAACCTCTCTATAGGGCTATTGTCATTCTGCTCTGAAGTAGGGGTAAACTGAGCTGACATTGACTCTTTCATCATATGGGTCATGACCCCCAGAGTTCTATAAAACTCATCGAATGCCTCGGTGTTCGCATTTATTTTAATAATATATGATTGTTAGAATTGTTATTTGAATTTTTTTTAATCTCTGGATATTTTATTTATCAAATTTGGATTTATAAAAACAGAGATATTGATTTTATATTGATTTAAATATTCAAATATGATTTTATGAATTTCTAAAATAATATTACTTTAAAGTATTGTATGGGAGGCCTAATAGGCTTTGAGGGCCACCATGAAAAATTAGCTGGGGCCTATTATGTGCCACAAAGGGTGGCATGCCCCACCTAGGTGGCTTTCTATTTTGTGTTGGTCAAGCTCTAATGCTTTAGGGAAAAGATTGTGATGTTTTAGAAAGCTTAAGCCTTGAGGAAATTTTGAAATAAATTTTGGCACGTATGAGAAGGCTTATGCATAAAATAAGAAAAGATAATATCATCATATGTTAATTTCTTATTTGAAGTAATTGATGGGAAAATGGTTTAAGAAGTGGAGGATAATAATTCTAGCACCTTCCATATGATATTGATGGCCTATTTATGGAATGGACGGCTGATATCTCTCGACCCACAAGTCACCCAAGATCAATGGTGCACATTCAATCTCACATGAAGAGGCAAGCCATGAAAAACCCTAAAAAACCATAAAACCATTAAACCACTATAAAAGGGGGACTACCCTACCCAAAATCTTTACACCTTAAACTTTCCATCTCTTTCTGACCCAACTAGGGGGCACGCCCCAATCTAGAAAGTCTCTCTCTCATCTTGGAAACTTTCTCTCTCCTCCATTAGCAAGCAGAAGGGGGCACACCCCACTCTTTACATCTCTTGGTGATCTCTCATCTCATATTGGAGCTAAGTGTTTAGGGTATGGTAGATGAGATACTACCTCTCAAACTACGTTATCAAATGGGGTTCACCTAGCTTGTGAGTGTTTTTTATTAAAACGGTTCATGTATCATTAGTATGGCTTGTTATAAACTTGTTTTCCCAATTGAGATTGAAGGTTGACCATAGATTATGTGCATTCGGAAGGTAGTGACTCGGTGTGGGGTGTAAGAAGCCCAATTGAGGTAATCTTCGGCACCCTCTTTTTTTTCTTGCTTATTTACTTATTATATTCTTTATTCCCAAGCATAGATTGTGTCTTTTTATTTGTTAACGAAAAGTAAGGTTTTGAATGGCTTCAAGTTATTGTATAATTTTCATTTATTTTATTTGAAGTTATTTTATTGTAAAAAGGCTACTTGTAAGTGATATAGGCCATGAAGAAAAAAATAAGAAATTAAAAAGAAAGAAAATAATTTATATACTCCGGCTAGATCACACGAGTCCTTCTCTCAAGGAGTACTTATAAAAATGTAACCTCTTCAAACCATATGCTATACCTAAAAAAAAAAGTTTCCAATGCATTTTTTATAGGCTCAAAAAAATAATGCCTCAAGATTGAATAGAAATCGTCTAATTTTTTAAGAGTGGGATCTAAATGTTAGAAAACTCAAAACTCAAATTTCTTCATTTGAATAGAACCATATAGTGGTTTTAGGTGATTTCCAAAATTTCAGATAAAAAGATCTTCACAAGTTAGTTTTGACTCAGGGAGCAAGTGTGTAGTATATGCTCTCATGGGAGGATATTATATGCACTCTTTACATGGTAGCTTTTCTTTCTCCTTATGAAATCCGTGCCTTGGACGAGGACATTTGCAGATTTGATCTAGATTTCTCCGTCGCCAAAATATATCCTCCTACTATAGTTAGCAAGGCTCAGTTTCAAACACGATTTTTTCAAAAAATCAAACATATCTGATTTTTTGAAATTTGTTTAGAACTATGAGTTTTTCAAAAGATATTAAAAAAATTCAATTTTTTTAGTAGAACCGATATAAATTTGTATTTTATCTTTTTTTTTAAAAAAACTTTTAAAAAAAACTTCTTCCCTATAATTTTATTTCTTCATTAACTTAATATTATTGAATTTTGGTCTTAAAATAAGCACATTAACAGTGGGAGTAAATTAAAAATATGCATTAAACAAAAAATTCTATCAATTTTTTTTGCAATGAGTTCCCCTTAAAAATAAGTGTACAAAAAAATACAAGCAATATATTCCCCAAAAAAGGAATCAAGCAATTATATATCTCAAAATAATAGGTATAATAAGAGGAAGAGTAACCTAATGAAATTTTTTTTTCTTCAAACCCATAGCGTCCTTATAGAGAGTAAGAGATAGATTCAATGATAATAAAGATTTAGGTGGCTAGGAATTTAGTGCGAGATTCGAATTTTCTTAAGCATTTTGTTCCTTTTTTTTATGCATAGAGAAGTTTGATTAATTTTATATTTTATATTTTATTTTATATTTTTTATTTCAGTGGTGTATATAACATAGAATTTTGAATGGACTGCTATTTTACATATTTGGGTCTTTGCGGGGGTATTTTTGTTTTTTTTTTTGGGAAAGATAATTCTATACCTTGGTTAATATTTTTTTTTTTGTGTTTAGTATTGTTGATGTTTTATTTTATGCTCCCAATTAATGTATGATGTGTTTTGTATTGCGAAAATAGAGTAAACATTGTTGTTGGATTTATTGATAGTTTCAACCAAACATTGTCAAGTATTACTCTAATGACACTAGTAAGGTTATAAAATTATTGTTTAATGGCTCTGATTTATCTATACAATAGCTGCAAATCATAATCCTATGTTGTGTATCTCTACGTATCCAATTTTTTCACTATGTTTTCTTGAACCAAATCTAAAATATTCACGATTCTATAACTTACCTTATTTTTTGAACCAATTTTTTCCTCCGATTTTTTTTAAATAAAACCGATTTAATATCAATGATTTGATATGCTTTTCCAACTTGCTAACTATGCCTCTAGGGTGTATACTATCAATTTTGTCTCTCTTGGACAAAATACATACTGGGGATACTTTTTAGATCTCAAATTTCGAGGATGTAATACTTATATAAAAATTTTATGAATAAACTCTATATAATAAGAAAAACTGATGGCTCAAGATTGATAAGAGACTGTCCAATTTTGAAGGACTAGATCTAATTCTCACAAAACTCAAAACTCAAAATTCAAAGTTTTTCTTTTTAAAAATGATAATCTAGTAATTATCATACAGCTGTCAAAGTTTTAAACTAAAAGCTATCAGTTTAAAAGATATCAATCTAGTTAGGTGTTTGACCGAGGGAGTACATGCGCAGTATACTCCCCCGGGAGGACAGTATATGTTCTCTCCTCTTCCTCATCAGCCGTCAATAGAGTGATGTTTCTGTCATTTCACAATAGAATAGGGACACTCTAGACACCAAGTATATAATGCGGAAATTAGAAGCCAGAGCCCGCAGGGAATGCATTTGGTTTTCCTGATGAATTGGGGGTCGTTCATGCTAGGGAACATCGTCTCTGTTCGCTTTCACTCTTCGCTTGCCACCAAGGTCTGCATTTTCTCCACCCCCATTTCTCTCCATTTTTTATCACAACTCTTCTGATCTTCCCACTTTTTAGGTTTTCCTTTTGTGTGATTGGAATAGGATCATCTCTCTCTAAAGGTGTGATTTTCCCTGTGTTTTCTGGATTTTATGTATGCGCTCTTCTCTGTAATGGAATCCACACGATACTCATCTCTCTCGCTCTCTTTACCCCTGGTTTGGCTCTTGTTCTCTGGAATGATTGGAGTCGTGTGCTCTTTATCTGGCTTTCAATAACACCGTGACTCCACAGTTTTGCGTTTTTTTTGGTTTGGTGTGTTGCAATTAGCCTCTCTGTCTATCCATCAACCCTATTTATCAATATCTCTCATATGATATTTCGATTATCACTCTAGATGGATGCAGCTGAACGCTATAGGTACAATCCTAAGCTCGAATGGAATCCTCGAGTGAAGGAGTATTTTATCAAAGCTTATGGCGAGCAACACTTTCAGTGTATATGCGATGCCCTTACGTATGTATCTCTGTTTCCTTTTTCTAAACACATTTATGCTATTTAGTTTAATTGTAAGCTTGGTTTTTCCAATTCTTTCTTCACATTCGTAATTTCTTGAAAAGCCGTCCAAATTCTCTATTGGTCTTATTTTGTAAAATAAATCTCGTGCTGATAAGAAAAGTTGCCCTATTTCAAAAAAACATTGGAAGAGTAGCCTCATTTCTCCAACTTCTAAGGAATTGGGTGTAGTGAGGATGGATATGTTTTGGATGAATAAGTTCAATTCTTTATAACTCACCTCTTTCCAAATTATACATAAAATATGGAGTCAATTTTTTTTGCAGATTGCTGTTTCTTTCACTTAGCCTTGGCAGTTTTACATTTCTGACAAATGGTATTGAAGCCTAACTGTTCATGAATCTGTTCATTGCCTTAGCCTTACGGAGGCTATTGTGAATTGGGTTTAGTTTAGGTAGGTTGGATTTTGATGACAGAAGAAGAAATGAGAATCCTCTTAAGTACAAGAAAGAAATGAAATTTTTTTTTTTGGATTGATAAACTTAAGGTTACCGATTGTATTTTTGGAAAAGCTGCATGGCACCATACATGCTTGGGTATGGCTCAAGGGAAGTTAATACTGTTTAGCTATTGAATACTCAGATGTCATCAATCCATGGTAGAAGTGGAAAATGTACACCAGGACAGGTGCTGCATGTGTATTATGATGCCATCTTTTTAAAATAATGTGTGTACTATATTGCTTGAATGTTGATCTGGAAGAAGTTGATGTGAATGTTGATCTGGAAGAAGTTGATGAAACACATGGGTATTGAAAAATGCAATGAGGAATGAGATATTTTCATTGTGTTCGACTATTGATTGAATGATGCTTAGTGGAATAGGGAATGATATAGGTGTGTTTATGCGGAGCAGCTTCTTTTAGGAAAGCCTAGGACTTAAATGTTTTATAGTTAAGGGAAAATTGCTGATTAGCACAGCACAAATGAGAATGTCAACATTGCATCGGTTTATGCCTAAGTTTGCCTGGTTTGTTATAGTTATTTACATTAGGCCAGTAGTTTCTCTTCTATAAAATGATGGATTCATAATTAAAGAGCTGAAATTGCTTTGTTTTATAGTCCAGCAAATCAAAGAGAAGAAGTTTCAAATTTTCGTGGGCTGATTTGCATGATGTGCATGCCGATCAAATTCAAATTTCTTTTTGTCTTAAGAGGATCATTTTATTTTTTTAGAAATCTCTTTCTTTTCATTGGATTAGAGCTTCTTTGATTTGGTATTGTAGTTTTAGTTGTGAAATTTATTTCCAAAAGAATAGTAATTTCTAGCCCAAAATCCTGAACTTGTTTTGGTGGTTTTCATCTTTTTTGCACTTAAAACTATTGAGCTCCTGCAGAATTTTATTTTCCGCCTTCTTCTTCTTTGAATATTCGTAAAATTCTTTAAGGTGCTTATGTTTACTGTTATTAATTACATCACTCTCCTCTTCATTGAATGAAGTCCCATTGAATGTTATATATTTGTTGAATGCAGTGATTCAAAAAGCGGACCGCCCAGCGCCTAGGCGGGCCAGAAAGCCTGGGCGCATCGCCTAGGCCTAGACGGCCAATCTGGGCGGACGCCCAATGCCTAGCCTTGGGCGGCCGCCCAGGGGCGTAAAAACCATTCTGTGAGGGCATTTTTTTGTCTTTTTTTTTGTTTTTAATGGCCAAAAATTAGGGTTTTAGGTTCATTTGAAACCTAAAACTTGTTGGACCCAAAGTTAGAGAGAGAATGCCCCCAAAAAATTGATTGTGGTGAATTTTTTACGGTCGAAGGGTTACTCAAAGTTACTCAAATTAGATTGTTTTCTTCCTCATGGTGGTGTACTGCAGTACTGGTGTGATACTATTTGATAACTTGTTTTGATAATTCGGTTGGTTGAAAAATTTTAAGTTTTAATTGGATATGGAGTATGAACCGACTTTGGTTATGCTTATGGAGTGTGTGCTAAATGCTAAATAATATGTAGTATAATTTGAATTATGTACTGCAATACATGTAAGTGATACTGACATAACTGCAAAATGCCAGAATCCTTATTTGGATTCAACTGGGCCACCCAGGTTTTGGGCGCCCGCCTAGGCGCTGGCGGCCTGGACCCCCCAGGCCGCCTAGGACCCGCCTAGCGCTTTTTGAAACTATGGTTGAATGAAATTCCATTTATATATTTTAAATCATCATAGACTAGCATGTGTCTCCATTCTTCATCCACAAGGCTTCAGACTCATTGGACCTGTGCTTGTACGTCCTCCTACTCATATACATTATATAGTGTTAGTAGGTAGCCATATTAACATTGTAAATGTGATGGCTTCACACATCATCTTCTTCCTATCTTTGCTTACAATGCTTTGCTCACAATCACTATAGTTATTCCGTTTCGCAATCTCTACTCATAGAAATATGTAAGTTATATGGTCAGATTACTTGTATCTCAGATTCAGACTTATTTGCGTCACCTATGAATCACTCATATGGAACATTTATACATAGGGCCTAAAATCTATCTGGCTTTTGTTGTGGGGCCAATTGCTAATGTTAATCGATATGGGGAAAAAACATTAGAAGCCTGTTTCCCCCCAATAGGTGCAGCGACTTATATGTTGCATCTAGACTGGACCTTGAACATTGCGATGTTGGTAGAAATGTGTCAAACCTCCAAAACTACAAAATTCTAAAGTGAGATGGATTACAGATTTAGGGTAACCAATTTCCCTAAGAGGCTTCCTTCATATAGATTTTGAAAAATTAATTGAGGATTGGGGTTCTAATATCCCATTTCCTTGTTTGTTAACTGATGCCTTTACTTAGAGTGCAACGATGACCTTTATAGCCTCATATCAAACTCTACTTTTTGATGAATTGAGGACCCAAAAAATCTCTTGGGCACTTGCAAATCAGAATAAAATATATTTGGAGCTCCATAAAAGCTCCAAATTTGAATGATGCACAATTCAATGAAATGAATACTCCAAACCAGATTTTGAGATGGCAGCCAAGATGGATTACTTTCAAGGCTACAAATCCATTTTTCTCATGAAATTGATATTGGGAATGATGAGAATCCATTTGTAGCTTTCTGGAGCCTAATCCATCGAAAAATCATGGAGACATGAAGTGTGGCTTCACTGCTTTGGGTGTGGCTGCTCATCACTAAACCATTTTCCTTTATGAGATCCCTTTTGTGTATGAGATTATGGTTCATTTTGGTCTGCTAGGCTGCCCTTCACTAGACCACTTTCCTTTATGGAATCCCTAGGTGTATGAGATTATGGTTCATTTTGGTCATGCTGGTTATCTGTAATGTGAATGCACCAACTTGTGTTAGATGAATTTCGTGCGCAAGAGTATTAAAGTCACTTTGTTTGATGGCATACCATAGATTTACTTTACTGCGCATACAGTTGTAATTTGAAATTCACTAGACATAGGGGATTTTATGTCACTGATATGTTGTATAGGAGATTTTTATGTATATGACCTTAAGTAGAGTTGCTGATCCACATGGTACTGCTTTCTCCAAGTTCTGAGCTGAATTGAGTTAAGATGTCTCAGCTGTGTCTCTTTGAATATTAAGAGAAGATGATGAGACTTGGCCAAATGTTATAAGATTGGGGTGTGTCTCACACACAGTTACTTGGATTGTGGAGTTGGGTGGGTGAACCAGCCTCCGAAGTGCAGTCTGACAATCCCTGAGTGGAGTTGCAGTAGAGTGCTGTTTTATCTAACAAGAACTGCGCTCCTAGTTAGTAATCACTGAGGTTCCACTCATTTTCTTGCTTCTTTGTAGTGTTTGCTAAGTTTTTGCCTATTTTTTGGTAATCTTCCAAACGCTGGATGCCTCCAGATTCTTTTCATCATTGGAGATGAATCCTGAACGAACCATAAGGCCCATATCAATAGGGAGTCCATATTAGGAATCTAATTATGATTTGCCGTCAAATAGATATTGGAGGTTTGTTATATCATAACCATGTATGGATAAAAATGTAAGAAACTCAAGCACCATATCTCCTTCTGATTTATTAAATGTGCTTGCTTTTTGACCACAACTTTTATATTTCTAAAAAACCTTGAGTTAGTACACAGGCTTTCTGCCATGATTTGTCGGCAGTGCTCTTACTTTCTGACCACAAATTTCATGTTCTAAAAAGCCTCATTACGCAGGCTTCTGCCGTTGACATGATTGTTGTCCATTTTCATGTTCTAATAAATATTAAAGGAACTGAGAAATAAGTAACAATAAAGGAAAAAGAAACCAAAAATAAGTTGAAAGGTGGGTTATGTAAAATTTCACAGTTTATAAATGCAATTATTTATTTCTTTTATTATACTGGCGAATTCTACTTACAAGTGCCAATTACAATGCAAAAACAGAAAATAAAACCTACTACAATCTATGCATCACACTCTTACTGCCTTAAAAATAAGCTTTATTCATAAAGAAAGCATGAATTACAAATAACAATCAAATTTAAATAAAAAACTAAAAGCAATAATAAACTTGGAAGCAACTTACAGAGCATACTACTTAGTACACCCCACTGATGCTGCACTGATCTAATGTTCCTTGCTGAATCCTCAAAACGGGAAGCTGGCAAACCCTAACTCAAACAAGGTAAGAGCATATAGAAGAGAACTAGGGTTTCTTTTAACCCTCTGAAAACTAGTAGTTTTTTTTTCATCCCTTTGCAGAGACTCAATTGGGATTCTTTTCAACCCTAAATGGTGGAGTAATGCCACAATGTGGCACTGCCCCTTTCTCTAACTGGGTTGGGCGTGCCTCTCTAGGTGCACCTAGGCAGGTGCGTGCCATCCTAGGTGTCCTATGTTGTGACTGCCACCCCCCGGAGAGAAATGAGAGAGTATGATGAGAGGAGAGAGAGTGGCCTAGAGGAGAGAGAGATAAGGGGAGAGAGAGTGGCTAGATTCAGGCACTGAGAATGAGGGGAGTGACT